TTTTGAATGCCTAACCTTCTGGTGACACCGAGTGGATCATCAGTTCGGTTGTGAGTCGAACGCCTGCGGATGAATAGCCGATCAGTCACCATCGCCTACACGCTCAACAAGAAGTCGACCAGTTGATGATGAATGCACTTCGTGGATAATAATAATAATAATAATAATAATAATAATAATAATGTATATTCTCGGGTTTAGGAGGCATGCCCATTTCGGCATGATCAACATTTTACAACTGTTTCGTATAATGTTTACAGCATAAGCCAAATGTCAGACAGAAATAAAAATCGTGTTTTTGGCATCCCCAGTTGTCCAGTTCAAATGAGCACAGAATACTTCATGGTGTCCGGACGGAGAGATCCGTGTACAAACGGGACCAAATTTCCTTTTTCTTGGTGGTGATAAGAGAAACATTAAAGCTGTAATCATACTTATCGAATATAGCATCTACTTTAGGCCAAATATTTTCCATTCATTGTGGCATTCTAAAAATCGAGCTATAAATATTGCTCGAAACATAGAATGAGAACCTTGTTTGTTTTGTGTGAGGTGAACGTGTTTGACACTTGTCAACTGACTCAGGCGTTTTGGTTTGACTGTACGCTAGGCGTAAGCGAGTAAGAGGAAAAACGAGAGAGAATTTTTTGAAATAGTGATGAAGATGTTGGAAGTAGAATCGGTTAGCTTCATCGTGATGCCCGACATGTTTACATGAGAGCAACATGGGAAGCATAGACGAGTAAGAGAAGAACGAATGGCAAAATGGAATGAAGATGGATAGAATCAGTCAGCGTTTCTTTCTCAGTTCACACTTTTTAGTATGGCTATAAGGTAGGTGTGGCTGAGTAAGCAGCTCCTCTACAGTCCAAAATTGTTGATGTGTCCGTGAGGTATGGTTTCCCGACTGAAGTAGGAAAGTGGGTCTGGTGAAGAAGAGCGAAGGGGTTCTGTCAACTTTTCATCTTTTTCACTTCACCTCTTCGTACGAGGCCTGGGCAAGTAAATACACGTAGCACATTTTCTATATATCTGTAATCACTACACTTACGTCACGCCCCCTCCTCAAATAGCATTATTTCATTGCATTTTAGTTGCAACATTGTTTTTACCTATTGCATTGTCAGACAGTTTGAAACTGCTCTTTTAAACACTGGTTGGGATCCACATGCTCTTATTTCCATGGAGAGGCGGTTCCAGACCTCAGTGTTTCTGTTTAAGTAAAGTTTTCTTCGAACACGGGGAGCTTGTTTTTATCATTCCTAATTCCATATTTGCCTTCCTGTTTAAAGTGAATAGTGATATTTGGTGCAGATGTACGTTTATGGTCCAAGTCAAGTAAGAATGTTAGTCGCAGCTTCATGCGTCTTAGCCACAGTGACTCCAGTTGTCGCATCTTCCAAGGCCCAGAGTAGCTAGGTTTGGACGATGAGTTACAGAGGGCCTTTGTGAATAATCGATGCAACTTTTCTAGGCACACGCGGTCGCGTTTCCTTCCACTTGTAAAACTAATCGAGCAGTGTACTCTAGCACAGGGCGAATACAAGCCTTAAACAAGTGTAGTTCATATTCACCAATCGAGAATGGTTTTGCACTTCCTCGTGATTTGGCCGTCATGTATTCAACTTGATCACAAAAATTCAAAGTGTTAGAATACCGGTTGCCTAGATCACCTACGGTCTTAGTACAGGGGTTGCATTTACCACCAAGTTAAAGTGCATTTGGCGACAGTTCGCGATTACATGTCAACACACTGCATTTGTCCGCTGAGTAGGACGTTTGCCAATCAGTGCATCACGATTCTCCAAGGCTAGCACGTCTACGCGAACGTTTCCTAGGGTGCTGCTCGAGCACCGGATATCGAAGGTGTATGGTATTTTTACATCCTCATACACGGTGTCTCACATTTTATTTTTTTCAGTTATCTCATTGAAATGCATTAGGATGGGCAAGGGACTCAACACGCTACTCTGAATCACACCACTTTTCATCCTCAGTGGTGTAGACTTATTATGCCCTATTTGTACCTATTACTTACGATAAGATAGGACTTGAACCTTACGTGCAACGGATCACTAATCCCGAAATTGATTAGCTTCGCCAAGAGGTTTTTGTGTGGCACTCTGTCAAAGGCCTTCTGCATATCAATAAAGAGATGGCTTCTTTACCATTGTCTGGCATAAGCGTCGTTGCAAAAACCGGTGTTGACCTGGGTTTATCAAATTCAATGATAGCAAGTGCATAACAGTTTTTTCTTTCCTAATTTTTTCCATTATTCTCGAAATAATCGGAGTGTGGCTGATTGGACGGTAATTTTTTATGTAGTTTTCTACTATTTTTATGTCTAGGTTCTATACTAGAGAGTTTCCATTGATTCGGGAATATACCCGAATTCATTTATGGGGTAAACACATTTAGAAGCAAGAGCGATTTATCTCGGCCACCAAACTCTAGTAAAGAAGTTGGTAGACCATCAGGTCCCGAATGGAACGAAGACCGTAGCCGATCAATATGAGCTTGAATGACACCGTAATCGAAATGCACTGTGCTAAGTTTGCCAACGTCAGTAGGAGTGCTAATCGTATGTGTTTTGCTGGAGGTAGTAAACCAAGTGGAAAAGTGTTCATTCATGACGTTCCCCATTGGGGTGGGGTCCCTGATCATGGATCTGTCAGGTAGTACGATGCATGATACCGATTTAGTTTGTTTGTCGTTTCTGTCGTTCGGTAGCTTGACCAAGGCTTTAGTGTTATTGTCATGGACAGTTCGGTTTTCGTTCGGACTAAAGGCGCAGTGTTTTGCCTTACAAATCTGATTGATTTGTGTGCCAGTGATCTAGGATCAAGCCCAAACTAATGATGGCTAACTATCGGCGTGCGGGTAGAGGACAAGAACATTTCCATAGTTATCCGAATTTCCGCGTATTGTGAATGCCCATTCTGCTCGTGAATGATGGAGATGTGTGTGCTGTCCGGATTGCCTCTACGCTTACGAATCCACACGACATACTGTGAGTAGCCTTTCACGCATTTCCGTTGGATCATTCATTCGTATTCCATGCCAGTTCTCCTCATCGTCTATTGCAAACGGACGGCGCTTCGCTTTCCTACACGAAAAACTTTGTCTATACCGCGACATACTATGGCAACTTAACATGTCAGGTACCTTGTTGCTGCATCAGAGCCATCATGTTCTATCGCTGCACATTTTTCTAAGACGTACAGAGCAAAATTCGGCCACTGATGCTGCATTGGCCTCTGTCAGCACGCTGGCCTCTTGTAATTTCCCCGACGGGCTTATGGGTCGCGGCTGACGCTCATCACAGCCATGCCATTCCAAGCTTCCGGTGACCAGTCCCGGATACACTAGACGACGCTACCTTAAGTCACACGTTCTACAGTTGTTGGTGAGGGATTATTTTGTTCTCCTTTAGATCCAATGGCCGATGTTTGTTTACCGGCCGACTCGCCAGGCATAGTTTGTCAATCTGTGCGTTGAATCGGCTTCCATTTGAATCCGAGATATTACGTAATTAAGGCGCAATTGAGGGCACATTTCACCATGAATTCCTCTCAAATCAGGTGTTACTTTTGTTAACCGCTCCGCGGGTTCCATTATTGTTATTTAAACCGGTGATCATATCTTTATCATCCGTGTTGCCTCGTGCAGCTTCCCTTTTTCGCTGTTTATCTTAGACTTTGTCATAGCAGCAACCTAGGATTGTCCGTCTTGTGGATACGTTTTTGTTGTTGTTGACGATTTCTTCCTTTGTCTTTAGCGGCGTCCACCAATTAGGACTTGACAACAAACTGTCTAGCATTGCACCCAGACTTTTGGCTAAATTTACCTCCTCCTTGTCTACTAGACCATATTCTTGGCGTGTCTGCAGGCCGGTTACCCAGACGTGTGTTTTTGTTGCCAATACTACGTTTGCTTGTGTGACTTCGGGTGCTCGTCAGATGACTTGTCGACAATGCGTGTATAACTAACTAAGAGATTTGATTGCCTTGATACATACCGTGTTTTTATATAGTGGTCTTGGAACAAACTATGTCATTGATTGAGAAACATCTTGCCCTACGCAGTTCAACGGAGGTATCTGTGGCAATTCTGCTTTATATACTTACCGCTTCTTACCATTGAGCTTGCAAGCAGGTGTTTGTTACTTTTTTCGTACCCTCTCTGTTAGATTGCGTTCGCAAAGTTCTTACTTCTTGTCACAAAGTCCGCTGTTCAGGGTCAAACAATTTATTTAACGGGGACAAATATGTGGAACTGATAACGCAACCAATCGCTATAACATGCACTGGTCGTCCTCTACCATGAGTAATGATCGTTTTGAGCCAATGAGGCTATTCTACTGACTCACCGAGACACGCGACAGTAGCACAACCAAACGTTAACCAATCAACGGAGCCGTATACACGGGTAGTTATTCCTGCTGCATCGACCGACCAAGCCGAACTGACTGCGCAGTTCACTCTTTAAGTCCATCTCTCTACTCCGATTAAATAATCTCATTAAAGTTCTCGTTTTTACCTGTTGTTTCAATATCTTTATGTCCTTCAAAATGACCTACCAATCGATCTTTGTGACAAGCGTCGCCCGCCGTAACCTGGTGTCTAAAGTTGTAGAGGTCCCGAGTTCGATACCTGCTATCTCTACCTGATGACATCAAGTTCGAAACCTGTCGTGGAGTGCGGTTTTTCTGATGGGCAACACCCAATATTCATCTGTTAATATCCCAGTCATAGAATTGCAAAAAGTTCACATCAGTGCGAATCGCGGTCCACGCTAAGATTGCGTATTGAAATTCATTCACTCAACGTGTGCTTCAAAATAACCCACCAATCGGCTTTATGTACTCATTAGGTGCAAACCACAGCAACTGTGGGCCCATAATACTCGGATTATTCTTCATTATCTTGGACGCAGTGTTTGTTTTTCTAGCTGACTTGTTCTGAGAGTATGCACTAAAGATTCTTTCCCTCTCTCGCCAGGTTTGGTACATCCCGTCCACGGCCCCCCGAGATGAAAACGAATTGGCCAGTCCGGAATCTGTACTACAATTGAGCAAGCCGTGTCTCTGTCTAACCGCTTCTCTGAACGCCGACGTGTTGACCATGGACACTTGCGTCTTGGCCGGCCAGCCTGTTTTGGCTGGCGGTACGACGAATGGCCGAGTCGTGGTGAGTTCGAAAATGCCTTACCTTCATCTACCCCTCTTTCATTCAGCTTCTATGGAGTAGGGGGAACGTGTGTAAGACTCATCCCCTTAAGCGTTTACGCAACTAACTTTGGCTCCATTTGCAAGATTTGCGAAATTCCTACCTTGCTTTTCCCGGTACACCGTTAGCTTACCATACTTATTCACTGTGGGCAATATCTGTAGCGGTTGCAACGATTCATATAAAAATAGTTCTTGGGCTGGGCATCTTACCCCACACTTTGGGGAAAACGCCCACCTATGTGGGCATCTTCCCCCACCCCGTCCCTAACGTCCTTAGAATGTACAGAAAGACGTGCGAAAAACCATTGAAGATTGAGCTACAGCATGTTACAATACAATCATGGCCTATACACAGGGGGATGGCCAGATAGCCACTTAACAATACAATGGATAGAGACTTGAGAATTGGAAGGCACAAAATTTGTAATTCGGGAATTCTCCAATGCGTTAAATAAAACCAAAGATTGAATAGTCGTCTGATTCACAAGTGGGGAATGCAATCCTCGTGGACCCATATTTGACACACGATGCAGGCGACCCACCTTTCACCAAGTCGATTCCGAACAAATTCTTCTCCGCAGACCAAGCCAGATCATTCCTTTGGCTCGTACGATGAGGAGGACCGGTTTGGGTTCTTAGTTTTACTGGCCTTCTTCTTGCCACCTTTCTGTTGCTACTACTACTACTACTTTTGTTGTAGTGAGCCTATAAATGATGACGCTGTTATTACTTCGGTATCTTCACCTTTGCGGCATCCTTTTGCTTGCTTGGGATGACTGCATTCAGCGTTTCCCAAAATCTTCAATATCCTGAATTTCAGTCAACGCTGATCGCGCGTTATTACCACAAGACTATAGATTTTGAACCTCAACTGACCTTGATGAAGCAGACCTAGCGTAAGCAGATGAGAGCATGGCTCAAGATGAAGGCATGTGGTCATGGTCTATAAGTATTTTAGGTGGAATCATAATAGTGCATTCAGCAAAAGCATCTGCTGATGCGGAGGGGACTTGGGGATCGTCTACATATTGTGTCGGTAGAAATTCGTCTCATCGACCTATACAATTCAACTCCCCCTACTACTCTTCTGTATTCTACATACTCACTGGGTGTAGTTGATAGCAAAGGGATAAGGATGACTTGATTACCACAAATATCCCGTGGTTCATTAAAATGGGCAGCTGCGAAATGATTCTCGTTAAAAGCAAAGGGATTAAACGGCCAAATCCTACGGGACTCAAAGCCCTTTGTAGCACTGGCAACGGTTGCTGATTTCTTGAAAGCTTGTCCAACTATTGAGGCCAGAGCAAAAATCGACCTTGTTGACGTGAATGATTTAGCATCCATCGATTAGCAAAGGTATTGAATGCAAGCTTCACGGGCTTGAAAAATGTGTGATCACAAAGCTGGTAGCAATGTGTACAATGTGGTGGCAATGTCAGCATGGTGACATGGCTAGCAGACGCTAATTCTACTGCAACAAGAGTCCTATGACTTTGGTACCCATCGAGTATGAACAAAGCAGGTTCTGTCATCGAAGATTGGACGTTAGCATCGGACCGTACATTATCCGAGCAAGAGCCAATTGATTCGGCAGATGCTCCCTTCAACAGATTGGATCCCACCATTTTCTCGGGAATATGAATATCGGTGATATATATCGCATTAAAAGCAAAAATGACGGTCACATTTTCCCCTTTCGGATTTTATCTTTTTCCCTTTAGTGCGTTTTCATTTCTGAGCCAAAATTTTTGTTGGCTTTTGCACACACGAAAAACTAGTCTTATCCATATTCCATATCCTGCTTTCTGTAAATGAGTGATATCTTAACACACCACACAAACAGCCTTAACATGTGTCTACTTTTGCCTGGTTGAATTCAGTTACACGAGAAAGGCTGTCTGTCCCAGGACTTCTAAGTGAAATAGAAGGATTTCGTAATAGAAATCCCTCTAACCAACTTCGACCTACATAGTTACTCTCATTGTTACATCGATGAGGTAGGTTAATGTTTTCTGCGAGATCATATGCCAGACGTCGAACGTCTATGGTCGTCAACCCAAACAAAGGTGCTTCTATTGCCTTTATCTTTTGACTAAGTATCTCTTCCAACTTCGGCTCAAAATGCTGTTCTGAAGCAACCCAGCGATACATACCCAATTGCAAAACCTGGAAAACAGAAAATGACAGTGGAACATGCAATTACCTCATTTTCTCTATGTCGCCTTGCAATTTGTCGGTTAACGTTGTGTTTTTTAGAACTCTTTTGCAAGGAAATGTCCTTTTCCAATTCCCCTAGTACTAACTGCTGGTTGTGTGTCCCATATTCTCCTCTGTTACTCCTCCGCATCTAAACTCGGGTCCTTCTGGGATGGCTATAATTAAAAATTGGTGATAATAAGAAGCATAAAAAATATGTAACACAGTTGCGGGTAAAACCCCCTGTTGTGTGCTTGACTCATTCGATTTAAAATCGAGTACAATTTTGTAAAATATAATAACAAGAGTACTTGTTATGCCCCTTCACATTCATATACGCTTAAAGGACATGCCAAAAATTAGGGGAACACGAACGCAGCATATGTCAGTGGGTTAGTAAGAATGGCTGATTTGTATGCATGAAGCAGGGGAGGCGAATATTAAACTGTCGCCACTACGATCTGGTGTGGAATATGGATCGCAATGGAAAAATATGTGGGTGGGCGTCTTACCCCACTCTCCTCTACTGCACCAAACCAATCGAATGTACTGCACTGCAATCCATTTTTGCAACCAATGGTCTTCACCGGTTGTTTTGGTGTGGGCAATGGGACAAATTTGACAAATGCTCCCTGTGGTTTACAGTTACTCCATCTCCCTTGCGATAGTCTGTTTGTGCTTTCTATGCACACTCCATCTATAAATAGTTACCCAGCCGGTATCATCTATCCACAACACTCTTTCGTCAATAGGCTTTCACCCTCCCCCGTTTCCACTTCCTTTCACAATTCTTCTTTTGTTTACCGGCACACATCTACTACTGACTTCGTTAGCCATAACAACAGGGCTGTCAATTCATTCTTCAGAACCATTGTACCATTCCACATTGGGTCTCAGTGTCTGCACACTCTTGTCAGATCGGCCTCAGTCGACACTCAATATGGCTTAATGTTGATTTGCGTCTTTGAAACCAGACTTGAATCCTAATGAAGTGGCCTTTGTGCTAACCTTCACTACTTATGGCACCGGCGCGACCTCCCTCTCCCCATGAAGGGTAGAGTATACAGTGCAGTCGTACGTTCGATCCTGCTGTACGGTTGTGAAACCTGGCCCCTTAAGGCAGCGGACCTAAAGAGGCAAGTTATATTCGACCACCGATGCCTTCGCAGTTTGGCTCATATCTGGTGGGAACACCGTATGAGCAATGGGCGTGTTCGACGCCTTCTTTATGGCGCCGAAAAGAAGCGAACCGCTCAGCACCGTTATTTCACGCACCAGGCTCCGATGGCTGGACCGCATGTTGCGCATGCCAACCCACCGACTTCTGGGACGTGCGTTGTTTGCGCGCTGGGGGTGCGGATTGAAGAAGAGGAGAGGTGACCAAGCGATGACTTGGTCAAGAGGAATAAAGAACCTTACTTCGAAGTTGGCCTCGGTTGAAGCCTCTCGGTTCTCTGGTTGGGGAACGAAGGACGATGAACACGTTTGGTTGGATACACTTGTTAACATTACTAGTTGCAGATCTCAATGACGTTTGTGTTGTGAGTTCCTTTGTCCATCCCCTCCGCTTAGCCATCCCTACAACCACGATCTCATTTATTAAGCATAGTATAACCTTTTTTGCTGCATAGGAGCCGGCTGTTAGCCCTCCGGAAAGAGGTCCATCCGTTACTGGGGTTTCAGCCGGCGTGCCTCTCACTTTTTTCTTTTGTATTGCGGTACCATAGCTGTTTTTCCACCTGTAGCTTGCGTGTATAGTGATGTATAGTTAACTCGGATTTCGCGGTTTCGAGCCTGTCTAAGGACCGGACGACCTTCGCAGTATTCTTAGCCCTCGCGACTGGTGGCGGTTGCATGGTAGCGAGTCGTCCGTACGGTGTATTGCTGATGCTCTTTTCCCCATTCACTTCGTAATGGCTGCATATTCAGTTCGCCTAACACTGGAGGTCTCTGTCAGTTTTGTACTTGCCTCAGTCCCAAGGTAATACTTTCACAAACGTTTGCGTTACCCGTCAGCTTTTCGACGATGAACGCATTGCTGACCTCGGACTCCACACCGGTCGACCCTACATAAGTCACATAACTGACTAGCGCTCATTGAACTCTTTCATTGTCAGGTTGGTCGCTATCAGCTATCCAGTTGATTGTGTGACAAACATTTGACCAGCTTTGTAGACATCCGTATGACTGCTGGAGTGGATGAATACGCAACTTTTGGTTCCACACTGTGAAGGTCGATCCTTGGCTTTTCCTGTGGAGAGATTGGGGCCGGTGGGCTGTATTTTGTACCGCATTGCTGCAGTCGGGTAACGCCCCATTAGAGGATTGAAAGTACATTGTCGCATTCATGATATGTCAGATCTGACTGCGCTATATGAACGAACGATGACACAATGTCAGTCTGCTTGTGCACTATGGTTACTTCCATTACGCGCTCCAGTGCAGTGGCAACTGTTACCGAACACTGGGCTGGATGATGCCGGACGCCGCCACGTGTGCTGATGGACCGCCTGTTCGCTGCATCCAGCCACTATCTATGAAGTATGCTACCCGTATGCTGACAAAACACTCATGTTCCATCATGGTGCACACTTCATCTACACTGTTCAACCCACTGTCTCTCAGTCTAGATTCACATACCTATGAGCAATGTACATGCGCTGTCAATAATCAGTGGTAAATCCCATCCCCGCATGCTTCGCTGACCGTAGAACCTCGTTAGGTGCAAATATTTCGAATCGGTTGGCGGCCACAGAAGTG